GGAGAAACCTTCCTTACCCGTTGGAGGAATCCTCTAGAGAAGCTTAAACAGAGAAAACCCGTAAACGCTCTCTAAAAACAATTTGAGTCATAACAAGATCTCAATTTTACCAAACCATTAGAAATAATTCAATAGTCCATGTAAAGTCAGTTTAATAAAGTGAGAGGCTATCATCTTCAAATATTGTGTCTCCATTGAGAATCAAGTTTTTGTCCATTCATTATATGTTCAAGAAGAGAAAGTGAGACTCAATTGTTATGTCGAAACTTTAGATCACCCCTCACAAAACAAGGTAATGAAAAAACTATCATATAAGCTACCAAAAAAAAGAAACGATTAAATGTATAATTTTCATGTAAAAGAAGTTACAACAAAACAGGTAGAAGGCACGACTTTTGTGCTTCAATTTTTTTTTTTTTGGTTCAACGGTTAAGGGTGTTCAAACCGGCTCACGTGCACCTCGACTAATCTCCTCTCCGGTCCGATAGTACCAAGAAATTGTTGAAAATTAGAATTCATTACGTCTGAATTTACAATTTATCTCTGTTACCACTTGAACGACCACTTAAAATTTGTGTGCTTCATTTTCAAATGTGGGTCTCAAAAGTATTTTTCTTGATACATAACGGTAGATTCACAAAGGGATAAACAGAAGTTCGAGATAGAAACACAATAGATCCACAAAGAGAGAAACATGAGAAATTCATTCTAACGAGTCTCCACTCTATGGTCGAGAGAATTAAAGATGCTCAACTAAATTGAATCTTGATTGCCTGTTTTAAATCAAACCGATATCATTTATGTTTGAAATGGAACTAATACATGACGTATATTAATTATAGGGGTGTAACTCGGGTGAGTTGGGCGGTTGAGAGGTCAATCTTAACTCAACCTTTGGTATATAATTTTAAAATCTAATCCTAATTTTAACCCGACCTCAATCTGAGTACCACCCAAGTTGAATTTGGGTGGACTCTGGTTGAATTTGGATTAGAATTCGGATTTGGTTCGAATTACTTAATTCGAACTAATTTCATATTAAAATTTTGGTTGAGTTCGTTAAAATGAATTGTGAAATGTGAACCCTAATTGTAAGTTATGCTATTGAGTCTATTGATTTATATATTTATTTTTAAAGTAATGCAAAATAGACTTAAAAATTAGACTTGATAATCTCAATCATTGAATAGGTAATGGGTCCCAAAAAATGTTGGGATCCACATTGAAATCAATGATTGAGATTATCAAGTCTATTTTATAAGTTCACGTAACATTTCTCTTATTTTTAACTATGTTTGGGTTGAGCCTGATTAATATTCGAGTTGAGCCCGATTTATATATTCAGGTTGAATCCGATAACCCGAGCCTTTAACCCAGGTATTATCCGAATTTAATTTGAATTGATATTTTTCAACTCAGGTCCAACCCAAATATTAAAGACCTCAATCCAAGTCCAGTTTTCTTCGAGCTAGGTTTGGGTTGAATTTAGGTTAATCCGCCCAAATTGCATTCTTAATTGACTGGCTAGGTGTTGAGGGGCCCAAAACTGGACTAACCACGCTGGGGATTATTATTTCAAGCCCAATATGTACTGTGNTCTCTCTTTGTCTCTCTCTCTTTGTCTCTCTCGCAGCGGGTTTGTGACAATGATTTTTATGTTATGATTATAATTTTTTTGTTAAAATTTAGTTGAAATTATTTGTTGTTAATTTATATCCAACCAGTCGGCGTTGCAGCCCTACGTACGCGGAGAGGATTGAACTTTCTAGTAGCTAGNGGGTATTTTGAGTTCGAAATAATTTGGAATTAGTCTTGTGTCAGATTTGTAAATTATGTCTAAAATTACAAGTCTAAACAACTATTTAACGAAGAATAATGCTAGGTTCTGAGTTTCAATAAATGTTAGGACTCACAATAAAATGAATAGTTATAATTATCAAGTTTAATCTTTAAACCTAATTTTTAAATTTATTTTTTAAGTTCATATAACATTGTTCTTCAACTGATGTTGGTTTAGAATTCTCGTTAGTGACTTTGGGACTGAAATGATGAAATGAGACAGAAATTAGGTCCCATTTTGTAGGGTCAATTTTTTACATAACTCATCACCTTGAGACGCAACTGATACAAAATTGTAAATATAATCTTACTGATTTTGAATATGCCGGTTGACCAGGCTGACCTGTTTTAGAAAAAAAAACATATATTTGTACATTACATGAAACTCATTTTAAGCATTACTTATGCAAGACTTAACAAGATTAGACAAGATTTATAATTGACACGAACTCAATTATATATAGCAATAATTTATTTAATATTATTATTGGTAAATTGAAATTTAAACTTATAAAAGTACGACAATAATGAAGATTGATTCTATTTTTACTTATTTTGATTTAATGATACAAAAGTCTTCTCAATTTTTTTTTCTTGTTTAAAAACATCAATTTTTTTGCACGACCCCCAATATATGACAATTCAACCAACATTCTTCAAAATGTTAAATAATACCATTAATCTATACTTATTTTTTATTCTCTCTCCAATACCTCTTCTTTATTTTCTCTCTGGTGACTTTAATTTTAAATTATGTAATTAAAAAATTAAATTATTATTTAAAATATAAATATTNAATGTGTTCCTTCTATTAGCTTTCCATTAGTTTTTTTATTAGCGTCAATGGGTTGATTTTTGACAAAAAAAACTTACAAAAACTAACAGAGTAGTTAGATTGAAACACTTTTAATATACTGAGAGTGCAATATGAAAAATTTAATCTTTAAGAGTACAAAATAAGTACTAAAATAATGTTTAAAGTACAAAATAGTGTCTAAAGTACAAAAATCCCTTAAATTTTATAATTTCAAGTTCGTTTGTCTTGACTTATTTATTCGGTAGGTATTTTGAGTTCGAAATAATTTGGAATTAGTCTTGTGTCAGATTTGTAAATTATGTCTAAAATTACAAGTCTAAACAACTATTTAACGAAGAATAATGCTAGGTTCTGAGTTTCAATAAATGTTAGGACTCACAATAAAATGAATAGTTATAATTATCAAGTTTAATCTTTAAACCTAATTTTTAAATTTATTTTTTAAGTTCATATAATATTGTTGTTCAACTAATGTTGGTCTAGAATTCTCGTTAGTGACTTTGGGACTGAAATGATGAAATGAGACAGAAATTAGGTCCCACTTTGTAGGGTCAATTTTTTACATAACTCATCACCTTGAGACGCAACTGATACAAAATTGTAAATATAATCTTACTGATTTTGAATATGCCGGTTGACCAGGCTGACCTGTTTTAGAAAAAAAAACAAATATTTGTACATTACATGAAACTCATTTTAAGCATTACTTATGCAAGACTTAACAAGATTAGACAAGATTTATAATTGACGAGAACTCAATTATATATAGCAATAATTTATTTAATATTATTATTGGTAAATTGAAATTTAAACTTATAAAAGTACGACAATAATGAAGATTGATTCTATTTTTACTTATTTTGATTTAATGATACAAAAGTCTTCTCAATTTTTTTTTCTTGTTTAAAAACATCAATTTTTTTGCACGACCCCCAATATATGACAATTCAACCTACATTCTTCAAAATGTTAAATAATCCCATTAATCTATACTTATTTTTTATTCTCTCTCCAATACCTCTTCTTTATTTTCTCTCTGGTGACTTTAATTTTAAATTATGTAATTAAAAAATTAAATTATTATTTAAAATATAAATATAAATATTATATTATCAATGTTCAATTTTTAATAGTATACAGTGTTTTCAAGCGCAATAATTATAATTTTTATTTAATTAATAATATCAGGTGTTAATAATAATTGTAAACTCTAGTGAGTATTGAGTTTTGGGGGGGGGGCCTTGTTGGGTACAAGTAGGGGTGCAATTTGGGTTGGACAATCTGATTTTAACCTGAGTATAACTTAAAAAAATTAAGACTTGGACAAAAATTTTTAATACTTGTATTGGGCTTGGGTCAAAAAATACCAACTCAAATGTAATTTGGGTTGGGCTCGGGTTAAGATCTCGGGTTCAACCCGAACCCAACAAATTAAAAAAAAATTATATATATATAAAACATTAGCACTGTTTTTTTATTTTTGGTGTGAAAGTAGATGATCAATAATTGTGCACTGTTATAAATGAAATATATGGATTATGTTTTATGAATTTGTAATTATTCCTCCCTCTCTTTGTCTCTCTCGCAGCGGATTTGTGACAATAATTTTTATGTTATGATTATAATTTTTTTGTTAAAAATTTAGTTGATGTTATTTGTCCTTAATTTATGTCCGACCAGTCGGCGTTGCAGCCCTACGTACGCGGAGAGGATTGAACTTTCTAGTAGCTAGCCGCCTCTCCACGCAGACCCAGTCGCCGCTGGTATTGATAGTCAAAGTCATTACAAAGTCGTCGTCCTCCATTGTCTCATTAAGTTATACCCCTGTCCCGGTTGTAGGGTAACGGTACTTTTCGTGGTACCGTGTTAAAAAATTATTTGGATTGTTAATCTAAAATTAAATGATATATAATAATTGATTTAAAGATAATTAAGTAATAAAAAATAATAAAGTGAAAAAAATGCCCAAAAGATGTTTTTTTATTGGCCAAATAATAAAAATAAAATACCATAACACTTTTCTCTGGCTGTAGTATCTTCTTAACAATCGCGCTGATATATTCCTTATAAACTAAGCTTCCACACTTGACTTCTTCGTACACCTCTCTTTCCATGTTTTTTCCTCAAGCAATACCATTTATATGTTTGCCTTTGGCTTTGTAGATTGTGAAAATCTCAGCTCATAGTCTCATCGATCACACCATAAATACAAAACAAACCATTTAGTGCAAAACAATCTTATCATTTGCGGTGGTGCCATCAATTTAGTCATCTTTTCTATTTATGATATTTAAAATTTTTTTTTTTTTGATTTGACGAGTAAAACTATATAATTATATTCACGATGGGCTGCATACACAGCAAAAAGCCTGAAAATAGTACTCAGCCACCTCCCGAAAAGAGATCCCATTCACATTCACAAATCAAACTTGATCTGACCTCATACAAGGCCGCCTGTAGAGCCGATCCAGACCTTGAATCTGTAAACTCGAAGCTCCAGCAAGGAGTCACCCGAGTTATCAACATTCTCGCCGCCGACGCCCAGATTCGATCACTTTCCTTAAACTCTCTCCGAGAAGTCCCCGGTTGTCTCCTCGAAAGTAACGAAGTGGTGAATGCAGTTCTAGAGCACACGAACGAAATTTGGGAAAACCCAGAACTGTCTGATCTAGTCAATGACTATTTCGAGATCAGTCGTAATACTGTAGATTTGTGTCTCTCTCTTGAAAAATGCCTCGAACGAGCCCGCGACAGGCAGGCCATTGTTCAAACCGCGTTAAACCTATTTGATGAAGAACACAGAGAAGAGTTTAGTCATGGTGAAAAGACCTCGTATTCAAAGACTTTACAAGAATTCAAGAAGTTTAAGGTGGCCGGTGACCCATTTGATGATGAGTTTTTCTCGTCGTTTGAATCGGTTTACCGACGACAATGGGAATTGCTACACAAATTGCAAGTTCAAAAAGATAAACTCGGTGCAAAATTGGCATCAAAGAAGACATGGAGGAAGGTGTCAAATGTGCTATTTGGGGTCACTTTTGTTTCGGTGCTGATTTGCTCTGTGGTGGCGGCGGCCATGACGGCCCCACCCGTGGTGACGGCGTTGGCCGCCGGGGCATCTGCATCATTGGTTTCAACGGGTAAATGGCTGGATTCGACTTGGACAGATTGCGTGAATATAATCGAAGAACAAAGAGGGATAATCACGTCGATGCATGATCAGACTAAGTTCTATGCGATTGAAGAGTTGAAAACCATTGGGCTGCTTGTGGATAAGTTGGAAAAAGAGATGCAATCGTTGTCGGAAGAGATTGATCTGGGTTTGAAAAAGGAGAAGGCTGTGATGGTGGTGGTTTATGAGATAAGGAAGAAGATAGATGTGTTTATGCCAGCCGTTGGTGAGTTGAGAAAGCGCACTGCCGAGTGTGGACAACAAATTAAAGAAGCTACGAAGAAGATAATTGATAAAATTAGCCAGACTCCCAAGCGTAGCAGCTGTTGTACCACTTTGGAATGCTTTACTTAGTCGTCTTGCTCGTCGAGGCCAAGTCGAGAGCAGAAAAACGATAAAATCTGAAATAAAACTTAGGGGAAGAATACTTTTAGATTGTCATGTTTTATATATTTTGTTTTGGTTCAACGGTTACGATATTTAATGTCAGGATTAAGATATTCATATTAAATAAATTTATCATAATTTAATCATAAAAAATTGACAAAATTCAAATTCAGAATGTCTGAATGTACAATTCATTTTTATTGCCATTTGAAATATCTTTAGAGTTATGTTATAGATACATAGATTTATTCATGTAAGTTAATAAAATATAAGGTTAATTACAAAATACTCCTTTCAACTTTAGATAGTTTGTTATTCACTCTTCCAGGTTTTAATTTTAACAAATAGTCTTATTTTTACGATTAACTCTAATAATTAATTTTAAACCATAAAAAATGAAGTTAGACATAAAATAGTCACGTGATCTTCAATTTATTGAAAAGACACAATTATCCTTGAAAAAGAGTGCAATTATATGTGAGCGTGTGCTAGCGTTGGGTGGAGGTGAAGGCGAAAACAAAGATGGTATTATGCCATGTGTTGGTGTTAGGCCGAACAAAATGTTTTTTTTTTTTTTTTTTTGATTTTTCTATTTTTTTTTTTAGAGATAGAATTAATATCTCAAGAAACAAAGATGAAAAATAGTGTCATGGTCCAATCAATCACTCTTGTCGGTCAATTTAACCTACTTAAAACTTGTAGGAAACAGCGTTTAAAATCATAGGAATCTAATTTCTCTAAGAGGCATAATTGGAGACAAATTGTAATTACCCCTAAAGCAAGGCATAATTGGAGGAGACAAATTGTAATTAACCCTAAAACATAGTTGAAGAAATTAAATTCTATGCCAACTATGTGACAAATTAGGTAATTTTTAAATATGTGTTATTGTAAAGTCTCAAAATACCGTTAATAAATTACATATATTATTCTAATTTTATACATATCTTTAGGCACGGGCCAACACTTATCAAATAAATATTTNCTAATAAATTATAAATATTATTCTAATTTTATACATATCTTTAGACACGGGCCAACACTTATCAAATAAATATTTGAATAATAATATGCAAGTACATAAGAAAGTGGTAGCGTAAATTAGTCGAATTCATAAATTTATCAATTAAATTTGTGAATTTTGAAAAATAAAAACACCAATTCGCTGCTAAAGAATTGATTCACGTGTTCAACACCAAAGCTTTGGGTGCATTAGGCGAATCATGTGACCCAAGTCTTATTTAAGAAGAGTGGAAATAAGATATCGAATAATAACATTTCCATATTATATATCATTCTTTTTTAAATAATTAAATGTGACATTTATAATTTTTTAAAGTTTTATTGTATTTTATTATATCTATGATCAATAGCTACAAATTATAACCACAAATCGTTTTGGGTATGGTGTGGAAATGTTTTATTTTATATTATACTATAGGACTATCCATTTAAACGGGTCAATTATTCCCATCCTCCATGTAATTCTTTATTACATGAATCTCCACTATCAGAAGGGTAACAATTACATGCGACTTAATTCTTTGGGCATACTAAAATTTATATACTAAAACTTTTGGGAACAACATCAAATACTCCAAAAAATAATAATTTGATCTCAAAAAATTATAACATAAATCCTAAAAGTTATAATTTTTTTTATGATAAGTCATGACATTTTACAATCGCTCATAAGTTTTTTCTTTTATTTTGAATAAAAGTTGAAAACCTGTATCTCAATTCATAATACTCATAAACTTCATTGAACCTCATTTGATATCAAAGTCGAATCCTAACTATTTTAAGTAACGTGCCTCTTATTTGTCAACGAAGATTGTGCCACCTCCTTTTAAAAATAAAAGGGTTAATCTAAAATTGTATTTTGAAAAATTGTTCGAATTTTAATTTGTATTCTCAAAGATCAAAAATCTCAATTTACATCCTTAAAAGATAAAAATTTGTATCAATACACACCTCAAACTAACATCTTTTAGTTTATCGTTTAAAACTAAATAGATAAATTACACCTACTCTTGTTCATGCTTATTACTTAATCACGTAAATCCCTCATATTTTAAATATTGCACATACATTCCTTAAGAATCCAAATATGACTAAAAATGTTCCCCTAATTAGGTATTCAATTAATTTTATTTAAGTGATGTATTGCATTAGATATAATATAAATATTTGCATTATAGACATTCAAATGGTAAGCTTGATTTTGAACTTTAGAGTATAACGGACTCATAAAATAAAAGGTAGTATGAAATTATAATTTTTTATTTGAATGAAATCATATTTTTTGACAGTTATATTAATAGATGTCAACGACAAGGGATTATGTGTTACACATACAAAAACGTCAAGAGATGTAAGAATAATATTCTAAATGTGAGGGTTCAAATGATCAAATGACAAACATGAGGGGATCTAAGTATAATTTATCCATTTACTTTTAGACAGCAAAAAGATGGCCGTTAATTTTAGGTGTACATTGATACAAATTTTTATCTTTGAAAGTGTAAATTGATATTTTTAATCTTTGAGGGTACAAATTGAGATTTGAATGATCTATCGGGGTATAATTTATAATTTATCCAAAATAAAATTTGGTCATAATTAGAGGTGATAATCTTAATTCATTACATATTAATCCGCCCAACTTGCTCATAAATAAATAGGTTGGGTACCTAAATTAATTAATGCGAATTTTAAATGAGTTGGATAATATGATTCATTTTAATTAGGATTTTTTGGTTGTAGATACAATTTTTTATACTTATTTGAGGAAAAGCGTATGCATAAGTTGTTTACTCTATTAAGTTCAATTTGAATAAAACATATTATGTTTAGGTACAAAATTTAAATGAAATCAAAACTATTTTATCTAAATACCCTTCATTAAATTATGGATTCTTGATTGACAGTTATATATCTAATCAAATATGTAAAAATTCATTAGACTCTCTCACTCTCTCTCCCCTATTTTCTCTTCATCTCTCTCTCTTTCCCCATTACTTTCCCCATCTCTCCACTATTTTCTCTCTATATATATCATTGATAATTTATATTCTTTTCAAATGTATAAATATTTGATTTATTTTTTTTTTATCTCTCTCTCCCCATTTTCTCTCTCTTTCCCTATTCTCTCTCTATATTTATATCAACATTACAACAACATAATTACACTAATCAGTTACATCAATCAGTTACAATTATGTTATAATATGACAAAGAATTATTCATGCATTCTAATAAGTCAAACAGTTATACCAAATAATTATACAAATTTACAATATCAATCCAATTTGTTATTCAATTGTTTACATAAAACTAAATAGATGCACTATTTAGTATCGTGACATCGTTACACCAATCATATATACCAAATTTAGTATAATGGTAAAGTCTTTTGTGTAATGATAAACCCAATTTGATGTATATAATTAGTGTAATCATGTTGTGATGTTAAATGATGTAACTCTTTGTTTTATGTAAATAACTAAATGACAAATTGAGTTATTGTTGTAATTTTGTATAATTGTTTAGTATAACTGTTTGATTTATTAGAACACATGAGTAGCTGTTTAGTGTATATTATAGGACAATTGTAACTAATTGGTGTAACTGATTAGTGTAATTGTATTTTTATAACGTTGATATAAGGAGAAAGAAAAATGGAGAGAATAAGGAAATAAGGGTAGAGGGAGTGAGAGAGAAAGAAAAAAAACATAAGGGGAGACAGAGATGAAAAAATCAAATTAAATCTTTACATATTTAAAAAAATATATATATAATAAAGTAGCTAAATTTTTTTATCTTTAACTTTTCGCGGCTTATATCGTTTGAATAAATATTGATCTGATAGTACTAATACGAAATTTTCTCTCCCCCAATTTTTTGAGCAAGACTTTCATTCCTTCCACAATTCTAAGACTCCTATCTTTCGTATAACTCTATATTTCTCTCTATATCATACTACTACATTAATTATGTCGTTAATTATGATTCTAATTAAAAATTATTTTTAAAAATTTTAAATAAACAAATGAACCTTTAATGCATATTATTTGTGTCAAAACGAGTTGAATGACTATAATATAAATCATATTTTTTTATTGAAATAAAAATACTATAATATTCAAATGGTATAATAATCGAATAATATATATGTAATGAGATATACCTATATACTAAGGGAGCTAATATTATTTGTCTTGAATTTTTTACAGCTCAGAGTATTTTAAAGACTATTGATCAAACGATCGAAATTTCTCCTCCAAATTTTATTTTACTCAATTATCAGTTCGAAGTGATTATGATTAAGATTCGAATTCAGCCAAATTTAATTATCAAGTATAAAGTATATATTCTTACTTAAACTTAACTTTGCTTGAATTTTGCGAATATTCAAGTTAATTAAGTCAAATTGAAATTGATTATAAAAGTAATAAAGAATAATCAAATTAAAAAAAAAAGTTTTGGCATTACAGTGAATGAGAATAAANAGTTCTGGCATTACAGTGAATGAGAATAAATAAGAATTAGTATGTTGGTTTAAGATAAAAGTGTTAATTTGAGTCTATATTAAATTCAATTCTTGGTTTGACGTAATTATGATTAATATTCGAATTGAGTTGAATTTGACTGTCGAGTANGTTTTGGCATTACAGTGAATGAGAATAAATAAGAATTAGTATGTAGGTTTAAGATAAAAGTGTTAATTTGAGTCTATATTAAATTCAATTATTGGTTTGACGTAATTATGATTAATATTCGAATTGAGTTGAATTTGACTGTCGAGTATAAAATATAAATTATTACTTAAACTTAAAGGGTGGGGTTATAATTATCCCAAAATCTCTATTCTCACCATATTTAATTTCTTATTAGCAAACTACTAAGTTCGTCTTTTTTATACCCACTCCATGCTACATACACCCATTTTGAAAAGAAAAGAACAAAATAAAGAAAATAAAGAAAGAAAGACGCAAACTGAAACAAGAAGGAAAAAAAAAATCAAGTAAAGATTAAAGGAACAAGCAAAACTAAAAAAACACAAAACCATAAGACACAAAACTGGAAATGAAAAATAAAAAT